AGCTCTATTATGTTAAGACACCTACCCGGCTGGGCTGTTAACAAAATGTTTTAAGCTGTTTTCCTGTTGGTTCCATGTACTTCTCCACAGGGTCTTGCCGAAAGGAGGGAGGGGATGGGGCGAAGGAGACGTTTTACAACTTCGCCCTGGGCGAAAATATTCCTTGTCACGGCGCTGCTGCTCCAATAATCCAAGAAGGCTGCAGAAGTTATTCGTAGACATATGCAAATTCTCAAAGAATACTAATGTCGTCTCCATCATATTTTCTAACTGCGGAATGTCCAAAGGGAATTGTTAGATTTGTTCCCATACATATGCACAATGTATATAAGTTGTAATACTCACATGTATAGAAAAACGACCCTTTATGTTTCTTTCCCTCAGATATAGGTTTACTCAACGATGTCGGGATTGATTGCCCTCCTCCACCGCTACGACAAGAGCCTCCAATCCCAACAAAAGGAGGGTCCTGCTTCAATGCATTTATTTTTCCATTTTTATACCCGGTACTCGAAGAGTAAATAGGATATATTGTATTTGGGGAATAAAGGTTGTATGTAACGCACAGAAGGAAGCGTTTCCGACCCCATAAAGTATATATATTCTTGATAAGCATCAATAGACGAGTCGATAGAGCCATGTCTGTCTGTCCGTCTTGTTTGTCGGCTAGTTTTCAGAGACTATAAGAGCTAGAGAAACCAAATTTTGCATCCAGACTGCTATATGCTCACACTGAAACCAGTGTATTTAAAAAATGAGCCAAGCCCCCTTCCGCCCCCGCAAAAGGGCGAAAACCTCCCAAATCTACAGTTTTGAAGATAAAAGAAAACTAAAAACGCCATTCCGTAGGAAATGGCCATATCTAACAGATCACCAAATTGGGATCCGATCGGATCATTATTATAGCCACAATGGAGATATTAATTTCCAGTGGCTAAACCCACCCTGTCCCGCAGCTTTTGTTGCTTATTTTATATTCTCTCATTCACACTCTGCTTCTGCTTCACTCGGCCCCTGCCTCTGCCCTCTCCCTGGCGTTGACTCTTCCGACTTTTAACCAAGGCTCGGTTTTTAACGCTCTGTATTATTGCACAGAATGTGCAGACCATTGGAGCATCAAAGTTGCGTACACGAAATTTTCATAGATGGTGCCACTTTCGAAAAATTTGCTGTGAAACCTATCGGTCATTATTGCACAGAATGTGCAGACCATTGGACCATCAAAGTTGCGTACAAGAAATTTTCATAGATGGCGCCACTTTCGAAAAATTTGCTGTGAAACCCATCGGTCCAATTTTATTGCTGTTTTAAATATCTCATAAATTGGAAAATATTAACTGATCCAATTTGTTTGATGCATTTTATTTAGTAGGCTTTTACTACGTGTTCTGCAATGTGAACGATATCTAGTGGTTGACGGTGTCTTCTACATCTAGATGTAGTCCAGAGTGCCGGGTATAAAAGTTGTGACGCGTAAGAAGCGTCTCACACGTCCCTTCTAGTTTAATTTCTCACTGTTTGGAAATATGTGGGAAAGGAACTATTTGGAGGCTCCGCGATATTTGTATCTTATATATATTTTTTTACTTTTATTTAATATAAATATATTTCTCTGTACACGGGGGCTTTTTATGGGCTGACATAATAAACATTCAGAACAATTCACTTACATTCTGTATTTTTCTTCTGGCTGCTGCGTTGTTTAAATAAAATTAATTAATGTTTTCGACCGGTTGAGCGCTGGTCCACGGTAAGCGTCGGTTTGTTGTATTAGAATTTTTTCTTTTGAGGCGAGGGTGGGCCCTTCAGCCTTTTTTTTTCCTTGTAGATCTTCTTGGAGGCAGCGAGGGATGCCCTTCAGCTTATTTTCTTATTATTTTTTTATACCCGGTACTCGAAGAGTAAATAGGGTATTTTGTATATTGTATTTGTGCGAATAAAGGTTGTATGTAACGCACAGAAGGAAGCGTTTCCGACCCCATAAAGTATATATATTCTTGATCAGCATCAATAGCCGAGTCGATAGAGCCATGTCTGTCTGTCCGTTTGTCCGTCTTGTTTGTCGGCTAGTTCTCAGAGACTATAAGAGCTAGAGCCACCAAATTTTGCATCCAGACTGCTATATGCTCACACTGAAAAGGCGAAAACCTCCCAAATCTACAGTTTTGAAGATAAAAGAAAACTAAAAACGCCAGTCCGTAGGAAATGGCCATATCTATCAGATCACCACATTGGGATCCGATCGGATCATTACTATAGCCAGAATGGGGAAATTAATTTCCAGTGGCTAAACCCACCCTGTCCCGCAGCTTTTGTTGCTTATTTTACATTCTCTCATTCACACTCTGCTTCTGCTTCACTCGGCCCCTGCCTCTGCCCTCCCCCTGGCGTTGACTCTTCCGACTTTTAACCAAGGCTCGGGTTTTAACGCTCTGTATTATTGCACAGAGTGTGCAGACCATTGGACCATCAAAGTTGCGTACAAGAAATTTTCATAGATGGTGCCACTTTCGAAAAATTTGCTGTGAAACCTATCGGTCATTATTGCACAGAATGTGCAGACCATTGGACCATCAAAGTTGCGTACAAGAAATTTTCATAGATGGCGCCACTTTCTAAAAATTTGCTGTGAAACCCATCGGTCCAAGAATGTACCAATTTTATTGCTGTTTTAAATATCTCATAAATTGGAAAATATTAACTGATCCAATTTGTTTGATGCATTTTATTTAGTAGGCTTTTACTACGTGTTCTGCAATGTGAACAATATCTAGTGGTTGACGGTGTCTTCTACATCTAGATGTAGTCCAGAGTGCCGGGTATAAAAGTTGTGACGCGTAAGAAGCGTCTCACACGTCCCTTCTAGTTTAATTTCTCACTGTTTGGAAATATGTGGGAAAGGAACTATTTGGAGGCTCCGCGATATTTGTATCTTATATATTTTTTTTTACTTTTATTTAATATAAATATATTTCTCTGTACACGGGGGCTTTTTATGGGCTGACATAATAAACATTCAGAACAATTCACTTACATTCTGTATTTTTCTTCTGGCTGCTGCGTTGTTTAAATAAAATTAATTAATGTTTTCGACCGGTTGAGCGCTGGTCCACGGTAAGCGTCGGTTTGTTGTATTCGAATTTTTTTCTTTTGAGGCGAGGGCAGCGAGGCAGCGAGGGATGCCCTTCAGCTTATTTTCTTATTTTTTTATACCCGGTACTCAAAGAGTAAATAGGGTATTTTGTATATTGTATTTGTGCGAATAAAGGTTGTATGTAACGCACAGAAGGAAGCGTTTCCGACCCCATAAAGTATATATATTCTTGATCAGCATCAATAGCCGAGTCGATAGAGCCATGTCTGTCTGTCCGTTTGTCCGTCTTGTTTGTCGGCTAGTTCTCAGAGACTATAAGAGCTAGAGCCACCAAATTTTGCATCCAGACTGCTATATGCTCACACTGAAAAGGCGAAAACCTCCCAAATCTACAGTTTTGAAGATAAAAGAAAACTAAAAACGCCAGTCCGTAGGAAATGGCCATATCTATCAGATCACCACATTGGGATCCGATCGGATCATTACTATAGCCACAATGGGGAAATTAATTTCCAGTGGCTAAACCCACCCTGTCCCGCAGCTTTTGTTGCTTATTTTACATTCTCTCATTCACACTCTGCTTCTGCTTCACTCGGCCCCTGCCTCTGCCCTCCCCCTGGCGTTGACTCTTCCGACTTTTAACCAAGACTCGGTTTTTAAACCTCTGTATTAGAAAAAGAGTGACCATCAAAGTTGCGTACAAGAAATTTTCATAGATGGCGCCACTTTCGAACAATTTGCTGTGAAACCTATCGGTCCAAGAATGTACCAATAATATTGCTGTTTTAAATATCTCATAAATTGGAAAATATTAACTGATCCAATTTTTTTGATGCATTTTATTTAGTAGGCTTTTTACTACATGTTCTGTAATGTGAACGATATCTAGTGGTTGGCGATGTCTTCTACATCTAGATGTAGTCCTGAGTGCCGGGTATAAAAGTTGTGACTTGTTATCTCTTTCGTGTCACGTTCTCCGGTACATGTAAAAAAAATCAAATTCGAATTTGCGCAACTTTTTTTTTTAATGGATCGAAACAGCGCGAGAGCGAAGAATGCACTTAAACGAACTGTTTTAGTTTTGGTTTTTAATTTTTAACCCCTTTGGGCGCCAATTATTATATTTCTCCAAGGTACCGTGGCTTCGGCCAACGGAATTGAGAGACGAATTTAGTGTTCAAGTATTTATTGCCGGCACTACAGGCTCGGTTGAATATGAGTGTAAAACTAAAGTACAAAAGTATGAATTATAAATTGGTACGCCGCGGACGGCTCCATCGCTTGAGCAGCGCTGCCCGCCAGCGCTCTCCGATTCCGTCGCGTCAGCTCCACGTGCAGACGTTCTTGGCGGATGTTTATGCAACGGACGAAATATGATGCCAGTTCAACTCGATGCCCGTCCACTCCAGCGCTGTATCAGCATTCTTACAAAGTAAGAACATTGCCGATACGCTGCCGTTGGTGGGGAGTGTTAACTTGTATATACCTACATTTTGTTTTACTTCTTTTAATTTCTGCGCATATATCGTTGAGGTTACGTTAATATGTACAAATGTACTTATGTGAATTTTCAACGAGATATGTATGTATATGTAAATAAAAATTAATACATTGCTTCTTTTATATTCTTTAGATGCAGTCGATTTGCCAAAATAGTCTGCCAATACTTACTTGGTAAATTAGAGGTTTCATCGCTTATATTTCACTTATTCATACATTTTTCACAAATTAAAATTACAAGATACGTGGGCACTGCACATCTTAAAACCTTAAAAAGTAGTCATGTCATGTCGATTGAGTCATGTCTGTCCGTCCGACTAGTTGAGCGCCTAGATCTTTTGAAGATACAAGAAAACGCCATTCCGTAGGAAATGACCATATCTATCAGATCACCGAATTCGGATCATATTGGATCATTATTATAGCCAGAATGAAGAAATTAATTTGCAGTGGCTAAACCCACCCCGTCCAGCAGCTTTTTATGTTTTTTCACATTCGCTCATCCCACACTCAGCTTCGCCCAGTGTGCCGCTCTTGGGGAGGGGGGAGAGCTAAAAGTTATGTAGAAGTAAATGTATGACAGACGAAGAAAAAATTTAAAGTTGGAAAAAACCGCTAAGGTGAGTACCGTGTATAAAAGTTGTGACGCGTAGGAAGCGTCGCACACGTCCCTTCTATTTTTTTAAACAATTGTAAAAGATGGTTATACCCGGTACTCGAAGAGTAAATAGGGTACATTGTATTTGTGAGAATACCAGTTGTATGTAACGCACAGAAGGAAGCGTTTCCGACCCGATCAAGTATATATACTCTTCATCAGCATCAATAGCAGAGTCGATAGAGTCATGTCTGTCTGTCCGTCTGTCCGTCTTGTATGTCGGGCGAGATAAAGGAGATATAGATGTAGATGTAGATGACAGAGGAAGAAAAAATATTAAATTAGACAAAAACCGCTAAGATACAGATGTAGTACTGAGTACCGGGTATAAAAGCTGCGACGCTTAAGAAGCGTCTCAAACGTCCCTTCTCGTTTTAATCTAATTTCATAAACGCAGTGAATTAGAAAATTAATATTTTTGTGAACTTATGTTATATTTTTATATGTATGCTCCATATATTCCTAAGGAACGCATCTAGATGCATGCCAAAGATGTTTTCTGTAAGGCTTCTTTCGGAAACTATTCTGGAAGGGAAACCCGGGCGTTTTACGAAGTCTAAATTACAACAACCACCACTTCTAAAAAGGAAGGATTCTGGCGTGTTTTACCCCCTGTAAAATTGAAGCGAAAACGTAACGCATATCGTACGCATGCTTAGTGAAAGAGGGAGCGATACAGAAGTACTGTTTGGAAGCAACAAGGAACGACTGGGTGGGAAGTCAACGCACCAACACATACATTACGTGCAGTGTCCGTGCAAATCAAGAAAAACCCGGTTTGGAGCGCTAATAAATAACAAGGAAAACTTGTGTATCATTGGCTGCACTCTTGTGTCCGATCTAGTATACCCCACAGTACCAGAAAACATCGATGACGACGTAATTACAATTGTGCAGTGAATTTTCGCTGTTTTTTGGTCAAATGTATTCATATGAAAATACATAATGCATTATTTTTTACCTGGTGTTCAGTGTTTCAGTTAAATAATTGTATTAAATTGTATCTTAAATGTATGCGTTTTACACAAAATTTCAATTTGCAAACGGTCCATCAACAAAAACCGAAAAACCAATCCTAAAGTCGAACAGGTACACATTTTGACGGGAGTTTTGTCTTTTTTTTTTGGATGACCATATCAACAAAATACAGAACATTTTTGAGACGGTCTCATCCTGGAAGGATTTTGAAAGTAAGTTTAAGCAAATAAGCAAACAAAAACAAGTATATATTAATTAATTCACTTAATTTCAGAGGTGATTCAGAAAAAGAGCACGAAAAAATAACAATTTGGGAAATACGAACAGCAGCTTAACTAAAAGGTTCTGTGAAAAAAACACAGAACAAAACGAAATGTAAATTTTATAATTAAAAGGAAATAAAAAAGTTTTATACTCAATTTGCACAAGTTTTTTTTTTTCAGAAAAATCTTTACCTATTAATGCATTACTTTTTGGAGAAATTCATCACTTATTTATGCATTATTTTTTAGGAAAATTCAGCACTTATTAATGCATTATATTTTAGGTAAACTCATCTCTTATAAATGGGTGTGCTCTCGACGAGTCTCGTCATCACTTATGCTCCTAGGACATCTCCGTGTTAACTACATCAGATTTTTGTATGAAAAGTCATCGCTTTTGTCAGATGGATAAATGACGATATGTCGTCGCTTACACATCGATGACCCGTACTGCAGGGTACTGCATGGTTAGTGTTTCAGCCTAGTACTCAGATCCAAAAACGTTTGCAAACGGTGCAATTACGGAGTAAAGGGTACTGTTAAATGGGAATCCATACTCATATTCCATTCCTAGAATACTCATACATATGTATAAACAAACGACCCTCCTGGTTTCTTTCCTGCATATATGGGTCTACTCAATGTTGTCGGCGCTTTTTCCGTTGATTGGCCTCCTCCACCGCCAATGCAAGAGAAACCAATTCCATTAAAATAAATTTCCTGAACGGATCGATTTTAATTTCATTATTTTAATTACCTTCTATTCACTTTTCACATAGTTTCAAAAAGTAAAAAAAGCAAAACACTGCCCAGTGTAACCGAACGGAATGCGCCTTTCACCTCTGGCCACACTCTTCCGCTCACAAAGTATAGTGCACAGTTTGCTAGTAAATGTTATTTCGGATCTGAGTCCTAGGCTTCACGCAAAGAAGGAAACTTTTCCGACCTAATAAAGTATATATATACTTCATCAGAATCAATATCCGAGTCGATAGAGCCATATCTGTCTGTCCGTCTTGTTTGTCGGCTAGTTCTCAGAGACTATAAAAACTAGAGGCACCAAATTAATCCTACATACGTATTTTCACGAACCTTAGCAGCAGCGTTAGCAGCTCCGAACTGTGCAATCATTCGAATGTCGTTTATGTTTCCCACTGTCCGTAGTTCGCCACTTTGCTTGGGTGTAATAAAGATAAGAGCGCTCAACCTTGAATATCGTTTAAGAGCGGCTAAAGCTTGACACACGACATTATTAGGGTATCCACATTTTTGAAGATCAGAGAAATCTAAAAACGCCATTCCGTAGTGAATAATTATATCTATCAGATCACCGAATTGCGATCCGATTGGATCATTATTATAGCCAGAATGACGAAATTAATGTTCAGTGGCTGCGTCCACCCCGTCCAGCAGCTTATTTTTTTGTTTTGCACATTCTCCCATTCCACACTGTTTCGTGTAGTGTGCAGTTCTAGGGGAGGGGGAAGTGATGTAGATGGCGATGACATAAGTAGATAAGATGTAAAATGTGTTTTTGTGTCATTACTATAAGGATCTAAGGTTTAGTCTCTTCTAATTACGCTTATGTATGGATGCGTATATTATATTTATATATTGTCTATGTTTCGTGTGGCGCAGTAGCCTCTATACCTGCAGAAAAGCCTTCGGGCTTACTTCGTGACATGGGGAAAACATACACGGTTGGGCACCCGTGGATCCTGGCGTCAACCATGCAACTACCAATATGGACGGACTACTGTATTCCGATGGATCACCTCTCTACGCCTTTCCAGGTGTCCATCACGCTTAACCTTGTAACGTTGTACATGTATATAATGTATATAATGATGGATCAAACTTACCCGGCCGCGTGGGAGGGGCCGTCTACCGCGACGAGCTAAACAGCAGTAATTTCTTCAGGCTCCCGGGCTACTGCAGCTTGGTTCAAGCGGAGGTTCTGGTTGTGTGTCTTCTCAGACAGCCAGCCAGCGATTAAAACACTAGCAGCAGACCATCACCTGTGCGCATGTCGATTGAAAAAACGATGGGGAGGCCTGTATAGGCTCAGCAGAACACAGGCAGAGTGCAAGCGAGAGAAAAATAAATGTCATCGCTGATTAATTTCTTCATTCTGGCCATAATAACGATCCAATCTGATCCAGGTTCTGCAATGGTAGATATGGGCATTCTCTTTCTCGTATCTTCATAATTGTGGATGCCACAGATTTTCGTAACACTTATAGCTTATATAACTAATATCATAACATTCTGGATTCTAAATTCGGTTTCTCTAGATCTTGGTTTCACAAACCTAACATACCCATTATAAAGATGCATCTATTAACCTCTAATTTTATAGTTGACTATTGTGTCATAATAGCTACGTTGGTATATGTAGGTACAGTGAATACAGTAAAAACGAGGAGAGACGTGTAAGACGCTTCTTACGCGTCACAACTTTTATACCCGGCACTCAGTACTACATCTGTATCTTAGCGGTTATATGTCAAATTTTAAATTTTTTCATCTGTCATCTACATCTATAACACTTCTCACACCAACACGCTGATTAAGCTCGCCCCCTTCCCTAGACCCACACACTGCAGACTCGAGGCAGAGGCAGAGGCCGCTGACTACACGAAGCTGAGTGTGAATAAGAGAATGTGAAAAAAACAAAAAAAGCTGCTTGACAGGGTGGGTGCAGACACCGCAAAATTAATTTCTTCATTGTGGCTATAATAATGATTTATGGTCATTCCCTACGGAATGGAGTTTTTAGTTTTCTTTTATCTTCAAAATTGTAGGTTTGGGAGGTTTTCGCCCTTTTGCGGGGCGGGGCTCATTTTTGAAATACACTTGTAACAGTGTGAGCATACAGAAGTCAGGATGCAAAATTTGGTGGCTCTAGCTTTTATGGTCTCTGAGATCCAGGCGCTCAACAACACGGACGGACAGACAGACATGGCTCAATCGACTCGGCTATTGATGCTGATCAAGAATATACATACTGTATGGGGTCGGAAACATTTCCTTCGGTGCGTTACATACTACAGTTAATCACACAAATACAATACACCCTATTTACTCTTCGAGTACCGGATATAAAAATGAAAAACAGAAGGGACGTATAAGAAGCGGACAATATTGACGAGGAGAAGATAATAGAATGGATATCGCTGTTGGAAACACTGTAGCCAGGAAGATTTTGGTCGTGTGTGCGTGATTCTACTAAATATCAAATTTTAAGTACAAATATACATATGTATACTAGCTGACCCGGCGAACTTCGCACCGCCTAAGAGTCAATGAATGTCGTGTTTCTTTTTAGCTGAACTAATTTAGGCTTTGATGAACGTAAAACAATGATACAAAATAATATGTTTATATAGATAGAAACAAAAAAGTACCAACTTGATAGCGCGTGATTTCATCGTTGGTTTTTGATGTTTGGATACCAAAAACCGCCATATCGCTCCCTTTCGTGACATATTTACAAATGTAATTAATTGAACGAATTGCAATCACTTGGCATGCGCTCTAAAGCAGTCTTGAACAGCCTGACCAATGCATGATGTTCATGAAGCGTTTGCTGTAGATCTTAGAGAATTGCTCTCTTCGTAGCTGTGCTGAGCCCTTGACGCCTGTCAAGTTGTTCTTCCATATTGCCCATATTGCAAGAATTTATGCTGTGCATCTTCTATAGGTTGCAATGATCCACTGCGATGGTAATAGGATTTTCATTCAAGCACTTTGTGGTAAACGACATTCTTTGTTTTTTGGTCAGGCGCAAGAAAAAATAAAGCGGATGGTTTGCCGACACGTGAGCATGCCACGTACAATTGACCATGAGAAAAACATTCATTTTCTAGATTGAGGCCACAAATAGTCAAGGATTGGCCCTGTCATGGCAAGACGAATCGGGAATTGAATTCGTTTAAACTCAAAGAGCATATCCGTTGGGATCATCGGAATCCTTGGAATAAGAACTTCATCTTTAAATTTTCCTTCAAGAGTCGACGCGTGAATTGCTCATCGGTTTTCTTATCACCAAACGCGTTCCATTGCACAGTTTTGGTTGGTTTAAATTTCTAAGCATGATGACTACCGAGCCAACTTTAAGTTTGAAATTGTGTGGTGGTAAACCAAGCACATCCAAGGAGTTTAAAAATAAAGTTGGATAATTAGTGGCTTCTTCTTCGTTTGTTACACAGTCGATAGATTTGAATGAATATAGAGTACCTACGATTTGATTTTGAATTAAAAGATTGAGGTCCTCTACATCTTTATTTTTAGCGGCAAAAATTTGTCGAAAATTTGGAGGAAATGAAATCAAACCGCTCGATTTGTGAACAGGAACACGGCCATTACTGCAGATAGATCGTTCAACAATGCAACTCTCATATTTACAGACAGTTAAAGTTTCGTTACATATCGCCAGAGATTTGATGCTTTGAGGCAAGCGTTTATTTCGTCTGCAGCAGTAGATCTTGGAATGACTGGTAGTGTTTGTCGGAAATCGCCAGATAATAAAATCATTGCACCACCAAAATATCTCGAGTCATTGCGCAGATCTTTTAATGTTCGGTCAAATCAATGACATGAGGAATGTCTTCCCAGTTCCACCGGGGGCATCAAAAAAAAATAAGCCGCCATTTCCATCATCAATTGCATTAATCAGTGTATCATAGACTTCCCTCTGCTTAGGATTCAACAGAGGTACATTCGTTTGAACTGATTGGATTAGTTCATGTGGATCATATTCATGTTCACGTTCCAATTCTCTATTAAATGCGTCATTCATTCCGCGAACTGGCGCTGGCATTCCTAACCTAACTAACAAACTGCCGCACATGAGGTAACACATATCTTCGATCAAGAGCAAAGTCTGGTTATGGATCTCCTCATTCACCTCAAGATTGTAATTTCTTGAGCTGACGCGAATTCTATGTAAAATATCTTAGGACATGTTATTTTTGTATTTGTTCCACAGGTCAAGTGGGTTCGATGGGAAGCATGTAGAAATGATGATAGCAAATAATGTGAGTATCTGACTCGGAGATGCAGAAATAATTGCTTCAGCGATTGTCTCGTATCGTTTTCAAGCAAATTTAGCTCTTGACATGCTGCACGAAATGTGGGGCACACGATACCATTAACAGTTCGCAGTGATTCAAATGATGTTGGCCCTCGAACATGTACCAGCAACAACCGCAAATAGAAACATTAATCATTCTTCGGATGAACTGTGTCAATACGACCAAGAGCATCAGTAGAACGCATACCTGGATGACAAGGAACTGCATCGCCTTGCTTCCGACGTTGAAATTTCTTCGACGTAGCGTTCCAAGTGTAATAACGTGGCATTTCTGAGTAGAGCAAAGTTCGTGCGAACGGATCGCTTTGACAAATCGCAAAGAATTTCTTCATTGTTTATGAATGAAGACGTAAGCGGAAGACAATGATATATGCATGCAACCATAAAGAAACTATAAGGAGGCCTCGTCGGTGGCAGAGTTACTCGCTGGTTCTGCCTTTGATCAGTGCTCGTTAGCTTGTCGACGCGGAAGGTTGGTTGCGGACGAAATTTTTTCTTCATAATCCATTGTCGTTGCCCTCACACTTGCAGCGAGAGCCCTCTCACTCGTACTTTTCACTCGCCCCTTCTGTATAGTGTTGCCGACGAGACCTCCTTATAGTTTCTTCATGCATGCAACTACTATTATATTGCGGATGTGTAATAAAATGTGTATGTAATTGAATATTTATTCAATTACATCCTTTTTAGAAACAAACATGTCTGCAAAATATTTGTTGCTATGCCGCTCCAAATGTTTACTTTGCTGTCAGCAAAAACAATAAAAGCGGAGAGTGCAGAACGTAAAACGTTTGCTATCTTTCTCTAGCGCTTGCCTCTCTGAGAGCTGAGAGAGCGTAATGAATAAGCAGGTGATCCCGTGGATCCTGGCGACAACCATGCAACTACCAAAGAGGACGGACTACTGTATTCCGATGGAACACCTCTCTACGCCTTTCCAGGTGTCCATCACGCTTAACTTTGTAACGTTGTACATGTATATAATGTATATAATGATGGATCAAACTTACCCGGCCGCGTGGGAGGGGCCGTCTACCGCGACGAGCTAAACAGCAGTAATTTCTTCAGGCTCCCGGGCTACTGCAGCTTGGTTCAAGCGGAGGTTCTGGCGATAAAAAAAGGCCATCTCTAAAGCCACAGGGAGAGTTCTCCCTAGAGAGACACTCATTGTGTCTCTTCTCAGACAGCCAACCAGCGATTAAAACACCATCATCATCAAAACGATGGGGAGGCCTGTATAGGCTCAGCAGAGCATAGTGCTCTGCCGTCACCCGAACCAATATGGGACACTGGTAGATTGGCACATTTGCCGCATGCCAATTACCGCCTTACTCTAACAAAAGCTAGATCTTGGTCTGCACAAGGCAGAGTGCAAGCGAGAGAAAAATAAATGTCATCGCTGATTAATTTCTTCATTCTGGCTATAATAACGATCCAATCTGATCCAGGTTCTGCAATGGTAGATATGGGCATTCTCTTTCTCGTCTCTTCATAATAGTGGATGCCACAGATTTTCGTAAAACTTATAGCTTATAGCACTTATATATCATAACATTCTGGATTCTAAATTCGGTTTCTCTAGATCTTGGTTTCACAAACCTAACATACCCATTATAAAGATGCATCTATTAACCTCTAATTTTATTTTATTTTTTTTTTTTTTGAGGTTTTAAGTTACCGCTCTACCCTTAGGTAGAGGGGAATTATTTGGCCACCCGCCTTTCAAGGGGGAAATCGCCACGTCGTAATATGTAACTTGGTTACAGCTTTGCTCCAATACTTACCTGGCGTAGAGGTTATGTTCCCCACGTGCTTGCAGTGTGCCCAGACACACGCTTCTCTTATTCCTCTAATTTTATAGTTGACTATTGTGTCATAATAGCTACGTTGGCATATGTAGGTACAGTGAATACAGTAAAAACGAGGAGAGACGTGTGAGACGCTTCTTACGCGTCACAACTTTTATACCCGGCACTCAGTCAGTGTAAGTGTACCTTATTGTTTTGTTTCGAATTTTAAATTTGACATTTTGTTTACATCTATATCCAAATAACTTCTCACGCCAACACGCTATTTTAGCTGGCCCCCCTTCCCTAGAGCCTCACACTGCATAGGCAGAGGCCTCACACTG